CCCACGCCAGACCTTTCCTCCTTCTCATTCTTTATTTTCTAAAAAGTTCTTTAAAAAAATTGAGCTCTACAACATTGAATCTTCTCATCCCATTCATTCAAACACCATTAATTTGAGTTATGCAAATTTTAAATATCTCCTCCTTTCCAGCATCTCAAACATTCAAGCTACTTTTCATCATTTTGATTAGGCAAGTATTTCAAAATTTAATCTCTTTTTATTTTTTTATTTTTAGTTTGTTGTTTAGACTACATTAGATGTATTAGGTATGATAGACAATAGTGTAAACAAGTTTCGTAGGCTAGAAGAACATGCATTGAGGTTTTTTAGGACCGGTCAGGAAGAAAAGGGGTTTCTGCCATGGGAGACAATCACAGGTTATTTTGGAGATACATCTTCAGAGTTGGTATCCATTGTTTTCGAAGATACATCCCTGGATTAGTCTCAGGAAAAAAATAGGTTTATATTGTGGAATTTGTAAATTTCTCCTAACCTGCTGTTTATATTTGTTTATGTTTCTAGCACAAATGCAATGGCTGAAAACAACATTGGTCTGATTAGGCTCAGAGTGTGTGTCTCAAACCACGTCATTACAACGTGAGAAGGCCGAAGTGAGGACCACAAGGCCACGAGTTGCTGATAACTCATTTGGTAGGGCATCTACTTCGCAATCCCAAAGTTCCTGCCTGTCTGATTCTCGTATTCGACTCCTTCTAGCATATGATGTAGCAGATACTGAAGTTCCTAAAGTTTTCGAAGCCCCTGAAACCCAGGAAGAAGCCTTTGTCGATGTTGATGCCCCATTAGAGAGTTATCTAGGTATATCTTACATGGAAAGGTATTTTTTTTCTTTTGCAATAGATATATTGTCAACTAATTAACTTCATACTAATGGCTATATTTCCTTTTTACATGAGCGTGATTGTTTGAAATCGATTAACTATGCCAGGAAGATTTTGGAGCTGGCACAACCCACTGGTTCTTGGTTCATTGATGTTATCCAGTATTTTGGGCATGTAGGTTTATATTCTTATGCTTAAATGATAATAAACCACGACATACAGGCGACTTTTGTTGAGAGGTGGCATTTAGAGATGTCATATTTCAACTACCTATAGGCGAGATGACCATCACCTTGGATGACGTCTCATGCCTCCCACATATTCCCATCAGGGGGAGATTAATGGACCATGATAGGATTAGGTGAAAGGAAGGGGTCGACATGATGGTCACCCATTTGGTTGCTGACCTTGGTAAGGCTGCCAAAGAGGTAGCTGACACTAGAGGTGCTCATTCTAGGTTTAATTTTTTAGAAAAGCTTTTTAAAGAACACCTGTAGTGGGCTGTGGATACCGAAGGTGATGATATGCAGGTTGAACACCATCGGACTTGCGTATTTAGGCTTACCTCTTGTTTTTGGTTGGCACATCCATTTTTATGAACAAAAGTGCAACCTTAAGTACTTCCCCGACCTGACTGCGATTCACGAGTACAACTGGGGCCTGCCTATTTGGCTTACCTGTGCTTTAAGTTGGGTGAGAGTTTTCTATGAAAGACAAAGCAGGTGACAGGCAGTTTCACGTTGCTTATGGTAAATTTCTAGTGCTAATATTTTCATAATCCATTTATTACACATATGTTATTAATATTATATTCGAACCATTTTCAAGGATGTATCATCTACCATCTCCCTCGCATCACCGGGTGGGAAGTTGTGCCTACACATGCATCCGCTTTTATTCCGTATAAGGGGAATAGTGTCGTAGAGCCATTGAGAGTCTCTTTTGACCATATGGTACCATATGATGTTTTCTTTTGCCCACGAGTTTCACTATCAGTCACGTCAGTTTGACGTCATTTCCTTATATTCTGAATGATTGACATGTGTGTTATCTCTTATGTATCCTTATCTTCACGAGTGAGCGATGCTCCAATTTGGCTACTAGTAGATTATTCTGAGACACTCCTCAAAGTTCGCTCCTCTTGGAATATGCCACAAAGATCTTGGTGTGATACTAGATGATTTTGAGAGTCACTTGATACCATATGAGTATCGTAGGGAGCAGCCTCCTATACTCTGGACCTACTCATATGACTACATGACCTGGTTCTATAGGGTGTCAATCCCTATCATGACACGAGACACTCCTGATAGACCACTTAGGCCAGCTAACCAGGAGGTACCTGTGGTTCAGGATGAGCAGGCAGAGAGCGCGTCAGACGTGTTGTGGAGATGGGTAGAGCAGACATAGAGTCAGGACTCTTTGAGGATGACACTCCTCAATTGGCCCTTGTGGAGCACTTGGTTGCCGAGGAATGTCGTGCAGTACAGGCGGTTGAGGAGGCAAGGGGTTCGACATATGTAGTAGTTTATACTTTTTATTTGTGTTGGACTTTCAACTAGGGAGCATTGAACATAGTGGGACTTTTTCTAGAGCAGCCTTTGTGAGAGACACACCACATACTCACCCAAAACCTTAAGGTGACAGGTGTATGGGTTCTCTCACTTATAAATGCTCAAGTCACCATATTTCTATCCAATGTGGGACTATTATCCACCCTACTCACACTTGTTAATACTTAACACTCTCCCTCAAGTGTGAGTCTATCCTAATGCTCTCCCTTAAGCGGAAACTTTAACTGTGCAACTGCACCCTTGTACCGAACCCACGACCTATGGGGATACTTTCGATACAAGTAAGTCGTTCCCTTTATTCAAACCAAAGGCTCATGATACCACTGTTGGACTTTCAACTAGGGAGCATTGAACATAGTGGGACTTTTTTCTAGAGCAACCTTTGTGAGAGACACACCACATACTCACCCAAAACCTTAAGGTTTTGGGTGAGTATGTGGTGTGTCTCTCACAAAGGTTGCTCTAGAAAAAAGTCCCACTATGTTCAATGCTCCCTAGTTGAAAGTCCAACAGAATATGGTGACTGTTGGACTTTCAACTAGGGAGCATTGAACACAGTGGGACTTTTTTCTAGAGCAACCTTTGTGAGAGACACACCACATACTCACCCAAAACCTTAAGGTTTTGGGTGAGTATGTGGTGTGTCTCTCACAAAGGTTGCTCTAGAAAAAAGTCTCACTGTGTTCAATGCTCCCTAGTTGAAAGTCCAACAGTGGTATCATGAGCCTTTGGTTCGAATAAAGGGAACGACTTACTTGTATCGAAAGTATCCCCATAGGTCGTGGGTTGAGTGTCTCGTTGAAGAATGTCAACGACGGTACAAGGGTGCAGTTGCACAGTTAAAGTTTCCGCTTAAGGGAGAGTTTCCGCTTAAGGGAGAGCATTGGGATAGACTCACACTTGAGGGAGAGTGTTAAGTATTAACAAGTGTGAGTAGGGTGGATAATAGTCCCACACTTGAGGGAGAGTGTTAAGTATTAACAAGTGTGAGTAGGGTGGATAATAGTCCCACATTGGATAGAAATGTGGTGACTTGAGCATTTATAAGTGAGAGAATCCATACACCTATCACCTTAAGGTTTTGGGTGAGTATGTGGTGTGTCTCTCACAAAGGTTTCTCTGATACCACTGTTGGACTTTCAACTAGGGAGCATTGAACATAGTGGGACTTTTTCTAGAGCAACCTTTGTGAGAGGCACACCACAGACTCACCCAAAACCTTAAGATGATAGGTGTATGGGTTTTCTCACTTATAAATGCTCAAGTCACCACATTTCTATCCAATGTGGGACTATTATCCACCCTACTCACACTTGTTAATACCACATTTCTATCCAATGTGGGACTATTATCCACCCTACTCACACTTGTTAATACTTAACACTCTCCCTCAAGTGTGAGTCTATCCCAATGCTCTCCCTTAAGCGGAAACTTTAACTGTGCAACTGCACCCTTGTACCGAACCCACGACCTATGGGGATACTTTCGATACAAGTAAGTCGTTCTCTTTATTCGAACCAAAGGCTCTGATACCACTGTTGGACTTTCAACTAGGGAGCATTGAACATAGTGAGACTTTTTTCTAGAGCAACCTTTGTGAGAGACACACCACATACTCACCCAAAACCTTAAGGTTTTGGGTGAGTATGTGGTGTGTCTCTCACAAAGGTTGCTCTAGAAAAAAGTCTCACTGTGTTCAATGCTCCCTAGTTGAAAGTCCAACAATTTGTATTATCAAACAAATGTTATGTATGATCTTGACTTTTATTTTTACTAATGTATGACTTTTTTACTTTCCTTTAACTTTAATATAACTCCATTTCACTTTGATTTTACTTTAATATAAATTGACCTAAAAAATTGCAATGTTTAGATAATGGTGTTGCTCTGATATGATTTAGGGGAGATTCTAGAGATGTATTATTGAAATAATTTCCCTTGCATTTAACACGCTTCCAAAAACTTTCAGAGAATATTTCTGAAATATATCTTCAAATACACTTAAATAATATACAAAGATGTATCTCCAGACTATATTTTAATCAAAATGGGATAAATTTCAGAATAACATATTTTAATACAACTTAAATACATTCAAAAATACTTCTCCGAAAACATGAAAGACAATTTTATATTTTTAAAAGTGTGGGATGCATATAAATGATATAAAAGAGTGGAAAGTGTATTCCCTAAAGGATAAAAACATGAAAGACAATTTTATATTTTTAAGAGTGCGGGATGCATATAAATGATATAAAAGAGTGGAAAGTGTATTCCCTAAAGTATAAAAAGCACTAGAGTATTCTTCTTCTTTTTTCAAGAAAACACCATATTATTAATTAACAAACCAATAAAATCCACTTTTTTATTTAAGATATTAAAACAAAATGTCAATCGGTAGACTTTGCATCAGCAATTTTCATTACACTATGCTGGTTATTTGACAGCTAAAAGGCTCTGCAATCGCATTGAAGTTCACTTACTTATTATTCAACCACCAAACCGCATCTTCTCCTATATAAAAGGAGAACTTTCTTGGTTGTTTTAGTATACTTTTGAGTGAGACGAAACGGTGAAGAAAGAAATGGATAAGTGGTGCATTCTGGTGGTTTTGGCTCTTTCTGTAGTTGCAACAAGTGCTAGAAATGTGCCTGCTGGAAAAAGTGGTTTGAAGGATGAGAAGAACTTCATTGGTGGGTTTGGTGGTTTTTCAGGAATTGGTAACAATGGTTTTCCTTTTGGAGGTGTAGGTTTTGGCGGTGCTGGTGGTGGCGGACTAGGTGGCGGTGGACTAGGTGGTGGCGGACTAGGTGGCGGTGGAGTCGGTGGACTAGGCGGAATAGGAGGAGGTGGACTCGGTGGAATAGGAGGTGGTGGACTAGGTGGCGGTGGACTCGGTGGAATAGGTGACCTCGGTGGACTCGGCGGTGGTGGCCTCGGTGGTTCTTCCGGACTTGGAGGATTCGGCGGGTTAGGTGGCGGTGGACTGGGCGGACTAGGTGGTTCTCCTGGACTGGAAGGATTCAGCGGACTTGGTGGTAGTGGACAAAGTGTACACAGCGGTGGTAAACATGGAGGTTCTGGTGGTGGTGTCTTGCCTCGTCCTTGAATAACTAGTTAATTACTATGTAATTTACTATATCTTACTGTTCTTAAATAAAATAACTGTTAATTATGTTTATTTTTATCACAATTGTCTAGTTTTAGTGTTTTATTAAGATTATATTTTCACCTACAGAAAGGAAGTGTGTTAGCTAGTACTAGTTTATTTTGTTATGATGTGTTCTTTCTAGTGTAATTTAAGGGATATGATCTACATACAAGTTTATTAGGTAAAGCTGAAAATTTAAGTATATGAAATATTATATGTTTTAATACGTGCATGCTTTTCTCAACTGCTTTACATCTGTACTCAGCAAGATAAAGAAACACATTCCTATCTTCACAAAAATAAAAATAAACACATTCCTACAGTGTTCTGTTACACTTACAATGTGTAGCAGGTTTAAATATACAAATATGATTTTTTATCTAAGTAGTGGGATGAATATAAATATAACATTTTTTTTTAAAAAATATAAATATGATTTTTTATATTTTGAAAATATTGAATAATTTTCTCATTTTTAACATCAACAAAAATATTTTTTAATGTAAATAACTAAGCAATCATTTAACCATTTATTATTCATGCGATTTTGCATTTGAGTCTTTATAATATTCATAATAGAGAAAGCTCTTTCATCTGATGCAGTTATCATCGATAATATCTAAGATAACTTTAAAAGCAAATATATCAATGGATACACAACATATTTTTTGGTCTCTACGAGTTTGATAGAAGGATGACTAATCTCTTCTAATTTCAAAATTTCACTGTTAGAGCATATATCTAAGAAATAATTTTCAAGTCGACAATCTAGTTCCAATCATTCAATTCGAAAAAATTCTAAAGGATAAAATTAAGATAAACAAATCAACCTCTCCTTATCAAACGCAGAAAATAAATGTCTTGGAATTAAACAAGCTACACAAAGGAGCAACTCAGTATTCACTAATTCTTGAAATTGTCGATCAATCACTTCATAAAACAATTCAACTTGAAAATGATATAAATTAGATAGTTTCTCCATTTTTCTCTTTGACTTTTTGTGTCGGTTGAAAAGTGTCATTCATATTTGAAATGTCAATATCATTATGCTTACAAAAAAATGAAACATCATTCAACATAGAATCCCAATCATTATCTCTTATTGCTTGTAGCCTTATTTTGGATACCTTTAATAACTTCATAGCATTTACAATATCTTGATCACTTCTTTGAGATAAATCATGTGTAATTTGTAAAAACAATTTCATCAAGTGCAAGATGAAAATAAATTCAAAATATTGCATATAACTCATCAGAGTTAATGCTTCACCTTTTTTTAATCTAAATTTGTTCCATTTTTCTCAATCATATCTAGTACATCAATCATAGAAGAGAATAGAGAATAATACCAAGTAATATAACATAATGTTTGTTTTATCTTTTCGGTGTTCCATGGTCAAGCGAGTTCTTCTCCATCAAGATGTTCTAGGTAGTAGGCCCCATTTTCCATTTTTGCTCGAACACAGTAGGGCCCCTCCCAGTTTGCGGCGAGTTTGCCTTCATGAGAATCTTTGTGATTTCTCCTCGGGACGAGACTGCCTACTTTTAAGTCTCTTTGTATGAATTTGGCGTTATACCTAATTGCACATTTTTGCTTCAACGAGGCCTCACGGAGGGCTGCCCCCTGGAAGGCACATGTATTTCGATAGGGATCACTGCCTCAGTCCCGTATGCTAAACAGAAAGGGATTTCCCCGGTTGTTGAGTGGGTCACGGTTGAGTAGGCCCATAGCATGTTGTGCAGCTCCTCGACCCACTATTTTTTGGTTTCGCTAGTCTTTATTTGAGACCACGCAGGATTAGCATGTTCGCTACTTCAGCTTTCCCGTTTATCTGCGGGTGCTCGACGGATGCAAAGTGTTGTTTGGTGCCTAGTTTGGCGATGAATTCTTGGAAATTTTTATCTGTGAATTGTGTCCCGTTGTCAGTGAAGATTTCTTGGGGAATGTATAGATAGGCACTACCTCTAACAAGGTAGTCCTATGGCGATATAATGCCTTTTGGATACGACTCAAGAATAAACCATTATCTATCTTCTTTGTCTGAGCACAGGTGACTCTCTTAGTGTTAGTACTTGTTCAGTTAAGATGTACATAGTCTTTAGGGTACGATCATTACGCAGCAATATATCTTCCCCACTAGGCGCGTATGGTAAGATGAGATACATCCTCCGGGCCTAAGTCGATCCTGACTTTCTTCGATGGCAGGGAAGTTAACAGTACCCGACGACATTTAGGGATGGATGTAGACCCATCGGGCGGGGATAATCATTCCGGTCCTGGGAGAGGTGTTTCACCGTGAGAGGGAGGTCGTTCAGAACCCGCCCGAAAGCGGGAAAGAATGTTTCGCTTGTAGAAATGAAGTATGTTTTGGGCCATTATTTTGGCTAGGGCCTCTGCTTCTATCCACTTTGTAAAGTAATACACGCCCACAATCAGGTATTAGTTCTTATATGATCCCACGACGACTGATCCTAGGATTTATAGGCCCCACCATGAGAAGGGCCACGGGGAGGATATTGTTTTGAGCGTGTTGGACGGTGCCAGGTGCATGTCCCCGTGACGTTGGCATTTGTCGCATTTTTTCACATGTTCCTTTGCGTGATGTTGCATGGTCAGCCAAAAATATCCTGCTCGTAGAGCTTTTCTGGCAAGGGATCTTCCTCCGAAGTGCTAGGAATTGACTCCTTCATGGATTTGACAAGGATGTGAATGACCATGTTTTCCTCAACACATTTAAGGAGAGAAACTGAGAACCCTCGTTTGTAAAGCTTATTGTCGACCAGGACATAGGAACAAGCTCTGCGCCTGACCATGCTAGCCTCCTTTGAGTTGGATGGTAGTTCATGCTTGGCAACGTAGTTGTAGAGGAAGGTTATCCAACTGTTGTTGTCGCCAATTACGTTTACGTTGAGGATTGGGGGAGTTTTCTCGATGCTTAGTCGAGGAAGCATCTCCTGGATGACAGATTTGTTTCCTCCTTTCATTTTTGTGCTCACTAGCTTTGACAGGACATCTGCCCAGACACTGTGTTTGCGGGGAACGTGTTTTACTTCCACGGACGTGAACTTCATCATTTTTTCTTTAACCAAGGTCAAGTATTCAAAGAGGTTATCATTTTTGGCTTGATACTCTCCCCGTACCTGGAGGGCTACGAGCTAAGAATCTGTGCAGATTACGACTTCATTGGCTCCCAGGTCCATGACGAGATGTAGACCCGCAAGGAAAACTTCATACTCAGCCTGACTGTTGGAGATGGGGAAAGAAAGAGCGAGCGAGACTTTGATGAGGATACCTTCATCATTTTCCAAGTTGGCGCCTGCTCCGGTCCCCGTCGAGTTGGATGCTCCGTCAACAAAGATTGTCCACTTGCGAGCTCCGCAAGTTGGGGAGGTAGGCAAGGTCATCTTCATCATGAATTCGGCCAACACCTGAACTTTGAGGGCTTTTCTGCTCTCTTATTTGATGTTGAACTCGGGCAGCTCCAACGACCATTTGAGCATCCTGCTGGCCATGTCTGGACGCCCCAACAGTTGCCTCACGGGTTGGTCTATGCGTACCACGATGGTGTGGGCTAGAAAATAGTGCCTTAGCCTCTTTACTGCATTGATGAGGGTCAGGGCTACTTTTTCGATCTGTTAATACCTAAGTTCTGGACCTTGTAGTGCCTTGCTCATAAAATATATGGGCTTCTGCCTTCTGGGGTTTCACGAATAAGGGTTGCACTGACAGCTTCGGTTGCGACTGTGAGATAGAGATAAAGGGTCTCCTCGTTGTCTGGTTGCGAGAGGACTAGAGGTTCCGATAGCGCTTGCTTTAGGTAGAGGATGGCTTTGTCGCATTCCTCCGTCCATTCAAAAGTTTCCTCCTTGCGGAGGAGTTTAAAAAAGGGAAGTGTGTGCTGAGCAGATTTTTCCACGAAACAGGTCAGTGAGGTGAGCATCCCATTCAGCAATTTGATCAATTTTTTCGAACTCGGCATAGGGAATTCGAAGAAGGCTCTGCATTTTTCGGGGTTGCCTTTGAATCCTTGTTTTGTCAGGTAGAAATCGGGGAATTTTCCTACCCGTACCCCGAATGTGCACTTCTCTGGATTGAAGCACATCTTGTACTTCTTGGCATGTTAGAAGACCTTTTTTAGATGGAACCTATGGTCGAATTCTTCATGGGATTTCACGATCATGTCGTCCATGTAAACCTCAAGCATATCCCTGATCTCTCCCTGGAAGACTTTTTTCATCATTCTCTGGTAGGTAGCTCCAGTGTTTTTCAAGCCGAAGGGCATTATGTTATAGTAATACCCGATTTGGTCATGAAAGTTGTGTACCTTTTATCGCTTTTGGCCATGGGTATCTGGTTGTAGCCCGAATATACATCCATGAATGGTAACAATTTATAAACGACAGAATTATCAACTAAGTTGTCTATGTTGGGGAGGGGATAAGCGTCTTTAGGGCAGGCCCTATTAAGATAAGTATAGTCAATACGCATTCTCCATTTTCCATTTGATTTCTTTACAAGTACAATATTGGACAACCAAGTAGTGTACTTGCCTTCCGAAATGAAATTTTCCTCTAGGAGATTTTTTACATCTTGCTCGGCAGCCTCCGTTTTTTTTTCGGGGACTGCTTGCGCCTATTATGGGCTACTGCCCTTACAGTGGGGTCGATGGTGAGTTATTGGTAGTCCACCTCTGGATCCATCCCGGGCATCTCCCAAGTGCTCCACACGAACAGGATAACATTCTCCCTGAGGTAGGCCTTTAGCTGCTTCCTCGCAAGGTCGGGGAGGTCGGTCCCAATCTTCACTCCCTCGTGGGGGTCGTCAACGAGAAGGACTAGCTCGAATTCTCCATCTGGGATTGGCTGCAAAGGATGGGCAGGCTCGCCGCTACTGGTCGATATTGAGGGACTGCTCGAGTTTGACTGAATCTCATTCCCCTTCTTCTTCTAGTTTCGCA